ATATACATATATATAAATAAAAATTTAAATTTAGAAAAACATTTTTTTTCTTTTAATTGCCCTTAAATACAAGTAGTATTTTAAGAAAAAAAAGAAATATTTAAAACTGCTATATACATATAAAATTAAAACTGTATAAAATTTTGATCTGAGAAACAAGCAAATAAATTTTGCTATGGATCAAAATTGTCATGTCCGATTAATTTTTGATTAATTTATTTAATTGCTTTATATAGATATAATTATATTTATCGTAAAAAGATATCGTAAATAAAAATTAAAATTCAGAAATGGATATAAAACTAACAATAATAAGACGTTATTTTATTTTAGAAAATACAGTTTCCATTGTTCCCGATGAATCATATTTTATCCGAAGTCGATATCTTTGTCAAAGTCGAAGGGAGTGTGATTAGAAAGAAGGAGGAAGCGCTATGGCTACTAGATCGATACTAGAGATCGAGGAACTTATTTCATATGTATTTAATCAACTATGTTATAACTTCTAATTATAGTCACACATCTGTCATTACTTTATAATACATATTTTTCTAAGTTAAAAGTACTATCGTTCGTACGTCAGATACACTGTTTGTGTGCGACTATTCTCGAACTAACCTCTTTACATCGCATTCTAAATTATGAGAATCGAACCAGTTGATCGCACCAGTTGATTTGCTAATTGTGCGCTATATAATTACCGTTTATATTTAAACATTACGTAACTATGACTTCAAGTTAAATGCGATACTATTATTTCAAGCTATTCGAATTTCGTGTATGACTCACTCCCTATATTTTGAATATACTATATATATATGGCTGTGCATTTCTTGCATATATGTACTTCCCAATTATAACTGTTTCGTTTTTTTTTTTAGCGTGTTATAGAAGATAATTATGTTTGATCAAAGAATCATAGCAATCTGCTTTGTCGTGTGTTTTGTAATAGTATTTAACTTTTCTCTTCATCGTATCGAAGAGGGTCATGTGGGGGTATACTTTCGGGTGAGTTATTTCAAATATTTCTGCTATTATGTCTAAAGGGCATTCTACAATGGCAGTAATAAGGCTGTAGGAGTAGGAGAGTATACTTTTAAGAGCAAATGGGAATTGCTCATTTCGTTACTCCCCGTCTAAACATCACTAAAAACAGTATACTCTCCTACTCCTACAGCCTTGTTACTGCCATTGTAGACGGGCCTTAAGAATCTCATCACTCTAGTTGATATATTTTATAAATGTTTATTAGGGTGGCGCACTGTTACCCCAAGTGAGTAATCCAGGTTTTCACATGATGATACCGTTGCTGACCACATATCGCGCGGTTCAAGTAACTCTACAGACGGATGAAGTAAAGAATGTGCCATGCGGAACCAGCGGTGGTGTAATGATCTACTTTGATCGTATAGAAGTTGTGAATATATTGGATGCAAATAGTGGTAAGTTATAAGGCAGATTGTTCTTGCAATTTTTCTTGAGAATATGTTAATGTATTATTCTATATTTGTATTTTATGTATACTTTAACATATATATTTTTTGCAGTTTACAATATGGTGAGAAATTTCACAGCTGATTATGATCGCACGCTAATTTTTAATAAAGTGCATCATGAATTAAATCAATTTTGTTCTGTGCATACGCTCCATGAAGTGTACATTGATTTGTTTGATCAAATTGATGAAAATTTAAAAACTGCACTTCAAAGGGACTTGAATGAATTAGCGCCTGGTCTCAATATACAAGCTGTAAGAGTAACAAAACCAAAAATTCCTGAAACAATCAGAAAAAATTATGAATTGATGTAAGGGATTATTCTATTAATTAATTTTCTTTTTTAAATTTTAAATTTTCTTTCATACTTCTACATTTTATATGTTTATTTATTTCAATTTTCTATTATATATATATATATATATACACATATTCTCTCAGGGAAGCAGAGAAAACAAAGCTATTAATATCTACGCAACATCAAAAAGTAGTTGAGAAAGATGCTGAGACTGATCGCAAGAAAGCTGTTATCGAAGCTGAGAAGGAAGCACAGGTTGCAAAGATTCAATATAATCAAAAAATCATGGAGAAAGAGTCTCTGCAACAAATGGCTGCGATAGAAGACGAGATGCATTTAGCGAGACAGAAGAGCCGTTCAGATGCCGAATTTTACCAAATGAAAATGCAAGCCGAAGCGAATAAAATACTTTTATCTAAGGAATTCTTAGAGCTTAAGAAATACGACGCATTAGCGCGCAACGCGAAAATATATTACGGGCAAGACATTCCAAAAATGTTCACGTTCGGCGGTTGCTCAAATGATCACAATTTTGTTTCCAGTACAAACATCGAGGAGAAACAATTGTGAGAACCAGATAATACTGTAATACGTATCTTTCTTTCTTAATTATTAATATACGGAATGAAATGAATGGATTTTATTTTCTCAAACCGATACTTTTATATGGACACTCTTCTACGAAATATAAATTGCAGAGTTTTGAAATTTTCATAGTCGTGCACAAACAACTTTTTAATCTTTAATATATAAATACAGTATACATAATGATAGGAATCAGGAGTGTTACTTATTTCTTTAAATTGCGTGTGGAATTAAGAGTTTGTATGAATATATTTATTAAATTTGTACAGAGATACATCATATATGAATATACATATAATCTGCTCTCTTTTCACTATTTATTATTATATTACTTACAGAAGTTGCTTATAGAAGAACAGTTTCCAAAGTACAAGACAATACAGCATTATGTAATAATTATATAATCATTATATCAATAAATAAGGATTGTGTACGTAAAAAATATCTCGATCAGATCCAGATCCAGAGTAGAGAAGAAAAAGAAGGAAACTGTTTAAATTACGGCCTTTTTTCAGTTGCGAGTCTTCTAAAATTTTATAGTAATATTTTTATTAAATTATACAATTTTCTATTTATAAAACTGTATGTACTAAATGTTGCTTCTTTTATATATGATAATAATTGTTTTGATGCATTGCTGCTGTTTGCGAGAAAAATGAAAATTATCTTCCATATCTATACAAACTTAAAAAGAACAACTCGGTGTCATTTGATCTTTTTGCGCTGTTCTTTTGCTCTTTTACTCTTGCGCTCACGCGCATGGATCTTTGGTTCTTCCGACGGTAAGGATTTTACGTCACTTATATTTTGATTTAGTGTACGTAATTCCTCGAGCGCTCTCTTAGCTAATTTCCCTTCAGGAGTCGTCGCCGGTTCCAAAAGGAGCATAGTCAGAGCTTTCTTCAGAAAGTCTCTGGCCTCTTCCAGCCGGCAGACCAACTGCGCTGATGAGATTTCGCGCGTGGAATAAGATTGATTCGCCAATATTATCATAGGCAAATGTATTTCATATAACATTATACCTGAAATCGATATTTGTAATAATATTGACAAATATTATACAACTCTCATACAATCTTACAGCATATGAACAACTTATATACCTTTTGAACGTGATATGCCCGGCTCTACTATATCTAAAACATCGTAGACTTCTTTGCATGTATCCTGCATCTTCTGTACAATTTTTCTTCGCGGATTGAGAGACGTTATCTCTCTTCTACACGCCGTCAATAATTTCTGCTTTAACGATAGCATAAGGAAATGATTGGTATGCAATGATCGGGATAATCTTTTAAGCAAGTCGTCGATAATCTGAAAAATAGATCAAAGAAATATGATCAAAAAAGATATTAGGTGCAAAGAAATTGAAAATAATATAAATATGTCTAATTTGACATCTTATATTTTGTGCGAACCTTTACGTCAATATCCTCGCACTCGTCGATGAGTGTTTTGCATATGTTCAACGTAGCTCTGATAAGACGGCCGCCGTAAGTCCTCTTGCACATCTGGCATTGCCATCGACTCGCTCGCTCGTACGGTACTATGACGGAGGTATCTTGCATTCCCACGAATCCTTCTTTGCAGCGCGGACATAGCACGCTGCTCAAATTCGATTGCAATTCGTAAGGGTCTTTGCACAAAGGACACTCGCATTCAAAATATTTTCCTTCTCGAAGATGCTGTCTTCTCTCGGCTGTACCCTAATATTGTGTTATAAAATTAAAAATTATTATTATTCTAACGTTGACTTAGCACGTCGTCATCAATGATGACTCTTAGAAACAACGAAAGAAGCGAGTATATATCCCACTAATAAGAAAAAATATCGTTTAATTGAATCATCAGATAATATTGGCGCGATAATCGGGGGCTAACGTTGACTTAGCACGTCGTCATCAATGATGACTCTTAGAAACAACGAAAGAAGCGAGTATATAGTCATCACCACTAATAAGAAAAAATATCGTTTAATTGAATCATGAGATAATATTGGCGCGATAATCGGGGAGATACTCCCCGAGATAATACTTTATTGTATAATTTCCGAATCTGTGCCATTAACTGACCAGCAATGATGAGGTATAATTGAAAAGAATAGGCTCGTCCTGCTTGATCGGGACACTCGCGTAAACGGTCAGCTGAAAATTGTCATCCACGGTGAGATGAGTGTTACCCCTGCAATCGTGAGCCATGAGGGTCGCCTCGATGTACAAACCCCGAAGAAGAAGACCGTCCAAGACGCCAGGTGATCGCAACTCGAAGGTATTTACGTCCAAGATGCCGCATAATTTCTGCATCAATTCAGCACTCGGTGTCTCAATCTTATCGGGCATGCGAAGCTTTCGAATCACCTACACACACATATGCATATATACACAAAGTGGATTATCTAAATAACAGCAAAATATTTTTGATGCTTTTAAATGAATGAAAAAACTCTTCAGATAAAGATATTTCGAGGATATTTATGGGGCGATTTTCTCTATTTCTCTCCTGTGCCTCCGTAGAAAGTAGATTAGATTAAAAAGTCGAATATGTTTTAATTTTAATATATAATCTGATTTACATGAAACTTACGTCTACAACATCGACCTCTCTTTCCTTCCAGACGGATGTGCCGATCCTTTTATCTAGATGAGCCTCCATATGATTTATCCTCTCCCATATAATCGGATTTCTGTATTTTGTTAGCCATAATCGCAAAGCCAGCAAAATTTTTGTCGCATCAATTCCTGTTTCCGCCAACAATTCTCGATTGTCTTTAAATATTTGACATTCGTCATCTGTATGATGATTTGTCTGAACCTTTAAAAATAGGAAAAAAAGAAAAGATTAAAAGCGCTATTAAAATTAGAAGCGGTACAGTGTGTTATGTAACGCGTAGCGGTTCTCAAACGTCTTATACTTTTCTTAAACAAAGTTTTACACGGCCATCAATTGTTCGCGAATTATCTTTTAAAAGCGCAAATGTTTTTTTTTCTTTTTAAGAATAAGATTCTGAGAACTGCTGATTGTAATTCGTTACCTCGCATGCAACGCTACACAGTGGTGCGAAGTTACATCTGGAACAAGCATACCGGTTTCTTGCGCTGATTTTTGGTAACGAGCGCAAACATGCGAAGCAGAAACAGTATCCCTTGTTATATGTCATCGGACCGACTGCGATCGGTTCTTCTCGAATTATGACTTCCCCTGGTGCCACGTTTTTAGTCGTTACAAGATATCTTATAAAAATACAAAAGATATAGTTATCTCAATACCCGGAAGAAGTCCATATATAATATATATATTTAATTATATGTAATTATATTTGATTATATATGGATTTTTTTCCTTCTGGATACAAATGACAGTGTATTTGCTTTGTTCAGAAAAACATGAAATTTACTTTTAAAGATAAACAAATCAAACACAAATCAATTTTTTTTTTTCTATTTCTATTTCATTCTCATTAAAACTTTAATAATTAATGATATCGCTAAATAGAAATAAATAAAAAACGTATATAAATAAGAACATTTTTTTAAATAAACACGCTTTGTTACAATCTGTTTATACAATAATTACTACGTACAGGGAGATGAATCAATCGATATATACGCTAAATTTTATGTTCATATATTACCTTCCAAGTTTTTTCGAATGCACAATCTTATACTTTGAGGGGACGAGCGCCATAATATCTACTAGAGATTACTTCCTTTAGATTTACGAAACTGGCACCGGTAACTGGCATTTGTTGAAAGCGAGCATATCAGTAACACGAACCGCGCCGCGCACACGCGACGTGCTGTATTATTAGACACCGTGTGGCATTGCGCGCAATCCGCAATGCCGATACAGAGCAGAATAAAATATGCACAATACAACACACAACGGCAGTCACAACGTAAACAAATTGACGTCGACTTCTAGATATGTACTTTTCGACCCGATACGTTTGGATTTAACTGCGCGATTGCTTCAATGTATTATCAAGAACAAGGGGGGAGATGTACATATCTCGTCAAGATATCTCGTCGAAAATCATTTTTTTTTTCGATATCTCGCATAAAAAAAAGAGGGGATTATCTAAAGAAAGGGGGGGGGGAAGAGAGAAAATATGCTTTTGAGATATACTATATTATTAATGTATATAATCACTCCGCGCGTATTTGTTGGTGTATATTTTTGCTACAGATTTAGAAATATTCTCAAAATGTCGGACGTATATGTCATCATAATAAAAATAAATATGTATATTAATAATAAAATAATATACTTTAAAAAAATTAAAATATATATTTTTTATGATATCGAGGATAATATTTCTCATAGTTTGTCGGGTTTATGTCATATCCAATTTTTATTTTTACAATACATATTTTCTCATATATCATCTATGTAAATTCTTATTTTTTTCGATTAGACAAAAATATTTTTAGTGCAATTTTCTCTTCATAAATGCTCTACAAAATTCTGTTTATTAATTAACAAATAATAACAACATATCGCCCAGTTCAGTTAGCATCTTTTGATAATAAGACAAAAGCATCGAAATACATCGAGACGCTTAGTAATGTAAATCTCTGTACACAAATAAGAGAGAGAGAGAGAGAGAGAGAGAGAGAGAGATCTTTAAAATAAATTTATTTATAAGTTACTTATAGATTGTTCCAGCTGGACGAGAGACTCTCTTGCGACGATTCCTATTTGTCCCTCGGCTGTCTCCGGTGGCTCTAAGATTAATATTGTGGCTGCTTCTTTTAAGATAGTTGCGGCTTCTGTCATTTTAGACTTTAATCCGGCCTCATCAATGACACCGGCATTCCATTGACCTTTCGCTAGGAAGAGTAGAGGCGCGTGCAATTCGTATAACGTCATGCCTGTCGAAAATGCGATAAAATTATTCTCATATGTCTCTTATGTCTCACAATCGAAGAAAGAAAGTGAGAGAAGGTCTATATAAAAAGTCTGTATACCTCTTATACGTGAGTACCCAGGCTCCACAACGTCCGATACTTGAAGCAATAAACGGCACATGTCAACTTTGTGCTCTAGTACAACATCCGGCAAATCGTCTAGCAAATATTCTTCAACCCGACCATACATTTGGCTTAATGAGTGTCTAAAGGAAAGAGAAAGAGAACATAGAATTTTTCAACAATAGTGTTTTTTCTGAAAAAGAACAATACAAATATTATTCTTCCTATTATCCTTCTTATATACAGACAAAAATTATTATATGTATTATATATATAATATTTTATTATTATTAAAATTGATTCAACATTATTAATAGGGTTATATTTTTGCGATTTTATCATACCTTAATATCGTAAGAAAGGCATGACGGGGATGTAAAACTGATCGATATTTTTTTATAACGGTCTCTCTTTCGAGAATCGCATCGGCTCCGTCAGCCCCACTAATAGCTTCAGCGGCGTCCACTTCTGCTTGAATAATCCCGAGAATTTTTCGCACTGCTTGTCCGTTGGTGGAAAAGTCACAATGCGTACAGTTCCACGTACTTTTCGAGTCTGAAAGATATCGCCGTTTATAAAAGATATCCAAATGTAAAAGATATCGTATTGTATGTATTATATAATTGCTATTTTATATTCTTAATAAGAGTTTGAAACCGCTATTAATATAGAAAATGTTACATTTCGATCGAAAAAACCGATACAATCTCGATGAAATCAATTATTGACGCAACTATGCAAGAAAGAAAATTTTGTATCAATTTTTATATTTCGTTTATTCACGAATATATATATATATATATATTATATTATATCTTTTACTTTTAAATTATAATAATCAAACATAAATTGAGAAATCGAGTAATTAATTGCTCGATTTCTCAATTTATGTTTGATTATTATAATTTAAAAGTAAAAGATATAATATAATATATATATATATATATATATATATTGATCGTTGTACGTACAATTATGTATTTACATTGAAATTCACAAAATTTGATTAGCTTTCAATTAATTACTCGATTTCTCAATTTATGTTTGATTATTATAATTTAAAAGTAAAAGATATAATATAAGAAAGATAAAATATAAGAAAGAGCATTTTTAATATATGTATGTATATGTATGCATACATATATAAAACATACACATATATATGCATATATTGTGATACCTAGAGAATCCAACGATAAGATAATTCCGTTGTCACACTTGTTACATTTAAGAGAGGACATATGGGTGCTCAATTCCGTTGGATCAGAACATCGCGGGCACGCGCACGCAAAGTGTTTGCCCTCGAGTAGATGTTCCCTCCGCAGCATTGTTGGGAGTAACGAGTGCGTGTAACTCGCGTAAAGTTCACCGCCCGTAGGAATCTTAAGCGTGGTACGCAGTCGTATCCTGTAGACGCGCAAAAATCGCGTGTATTATAATTATCGCTTTCATATATAATACACGAGCGTATCCTCATCAGCATAATAAACCTCGTGAGATTTCCTGGGAATCGTGCGCGGTGCACGAATTAATTGAGGAAGGAGGATGCGTGAGCGTAATAAATAAACGAGAAGATCGTTACGTTGAGAGAGATAGCGTTCAAGTATATATCGCAAAATTAAAAACATTTTGTCATTTTAATTAATGCTACTTGCAATGTATCACACGACACACGACAAGAATTTTACGCGTTCTCATTTCTCGTAAATAATAATCATCACGAATTAAATTACCTATAATCGATCGGCGATATACTGTGAGACGTGTTTGAGACACACGAGTGATTCATCATAGCGACCGTTGGATAAAGACCTCGTGCGCTGAATCCCTTCGTCGTCCGAACTTCAAATGTGTTAATCTCCAAAATTCCGCATGCTGTTTGTATGCGTTCTTCCGAGAATCTGCCGAGAATAAATTTGCTTTGAGATTCCAAATAATAGTGTATGTCGACAAAATAATTGTGTATTAACATATATACATATACCTATCGAGCTTGAGTCGTTTCCTCATATAATCCACGATGTTGATGTGATCCGACTTCCACTGCGTTTTTTCACACCTTATCTTATTATGCGCCTCCATATCCTTCACTTCTTCGTTCCATCTCTCGACATTCTTCTCCGATTCCAACAATAGTCTTAAGGGCGTTATGCACTCTAATTGCGGAATACCATCGTTTCCATTCAACAGCGCGACGTCTACATTAAACTTCTCATTCGCCTGCACAAATACCTATCGAAGAAGATTGATTCTTAGATACGTAAAAACACAGTTTTGAGGAGAAACAAACAATCATTGCAAAGTATCTTAAAGTCCACGTTTAAAAAAAATGAATGTAATGATTACAACGGCATTATAAACCTCGCAGAACATATGCATTCTTAAATTTATATTTTAAAAGAATGGAAAAATATAGAAAGTATTATACATAACTTTGTAATATAATTTACTATTTTGTGCATTAAAAATACAGATTTTAGAGCTGATCGCAGAATTTATTATGCGATTTGGAAACAAGTTCTTTGAAAATTGTCGCACTCACTTGGCACTCGTAATCTTTATGTTGCGGAGAGTTCTCGCATTCTTGATTGCAAACAGGCCATCCGCACTTGGAACAGAGCGGTTTCTCATCCGGGCTAGGCGGCCAAGGTGTGTAGCAAGAAAGACACAAGGGATAAGTACATGCCTTCGGCCCAACGACGAAAGGTGCTTCCGTTACGATTTCTTCGCCAGCTTGCAATTCTCTATTCGCGACCATGTACCTGAAAAAGCAATTTGTATCCGAATAAACGCTAATTGGAATATACTTGATTAAAACAACTATGTATACTCCGATCGCCAAAACTAATCATCTCTTCCCACACATTGAAGCAATTTCACTGTGAATTCACTGTGTGTCTCGATTTATTTTACTTTATGGTTTATTGATATGAATGTTTAATTTATATATAGAATGGCTTTTAGTGCAGCATATATTGCGGATTTATTCCTTTCTTAAATTATTTTTGTGTTGATTTATACGTAATTTTATATCCTCTTACATTTTTACATATAGTAAACCTCAAGTTTGAACCATTTTTAAATTTTATTATTGCGTGAATCCCGTATACTATGATTTTAATTATAACTTTGTAATTAACTTTATATAAATGTTCAACTTATTAAGTGTGTTAATGCAACTTCATTAAAAAGTTACTTCTGTGGAATGTTACTTAATATATGTAGATTTCCGATTCTGTATTTTATTTTGAACAATTTATCAGCTCCACTCACCTACCAACTTGATCATTCTGAAGCACCTTGTATGCCTGCGACGTAGATCCTTTCGTGGATACATCACCCTCCTGAAACATTGCGGATACGAACGGTATAAGAAATTATATCGTTTCAAAGCGAATCGAGTTTTTTCGCGCGCGAATAAATAACAAAGTTATCGAGGACGTACCGATTTTTGCGACATGTTCGATTAAAAAGAAAGAGATCGAACACTCTACTCGAATGGTTTTTTTTTTATTCTAATAAACAATGACGATGCTAATCGAAAGCTTGTTCTTGGACTGAGCCAAAGCTCGCGTTTGCCGCGCACTTTATATCTTGAGCTTATTAAAAATATCGCGTACAAACCGCGCCAAAATGGCATAAGTTAAGTTATACCGGACGAGATTTGTGCCGACTTCGGGCACGGATACGTTGTGATCAGAACGTTCCTTATTGCAGTTGACCATGCTATTTTTGGAACTCTAAACGCGTATACGGTAGAGAATAGTGTGGAAGCTTTTGGAAAGATCCAAAAGCTTCCACTATTCTAAACTATCATAATTAATAATTAAATAAACTATTGTAATTATAATACAAATATAATATTGTGCATTTTTCCTTATTGTACTAATTAACTTTTTAATTGCGAGATAATTCTTTGATTACAAACATGTTATATCTTTTATATTCATCTTTACACTCGGGAAGATATTGTAATAATTTTAATTATACATGTGCAATTAAGATGCACATTAAAAATTTTTTGACATATATTTGAAATATATTAAAAGGATTGAAGAAAAAATTTGATATTAAATATCCCGCTATATATTTCTGTTTGCAACGAATTTTTTCCTTAACAATCGAGTCTTCAGAGAGTGGGAATTGGTCGAAATAAGTCTGCTATCGGTGTTCGAATCGTACAAATCATCCGAGTTTCAAACTCGAGCGTTTTTCTACTTCGAAATGTCCAAATCCAATTCGATCGTACAATTCGAATCTTTTTAATCCAAATATCGCGAAACGCCGTGCCGCTAAAGTTGCGCAGAAATAGTTCGAGCGTTATGGCTACGTTCCGATATTCACTGCCAGTACTGAAAATTTATAGTGCACGCGACGTAAACTATAGATTTTCAGTACTGGCAGTGATATCGCTGCCTATGTATTTCCCTTTGCGTTAGCGCGCATGCGCGCCAACGTCCCTGGGGTCGCGGTCGTGGTTCTCTTTCCGCTATCGCTTGCTCTCCGTCGTCTCTCACGTCTCTACGTCTCAAAGAGTTTGCACATTTTTCCGCCTCGTATCCGCTAACGTAAGACTGTAAGTATAACATCGTCGCCGATATTACTGTCGAGCCAAGCGTGTCGCGTTCTCGCGAATCATAAAATCCGTATTCAATTCGAGCAAATTGTTGGATACGAAAGAAGCGAGTTTTGTTCTTACGGTAAACCGGCAAGAGACCACGATTTCGCAATGTCGTCTGCCGTGACCGTTGGAACTCTCGATTCGTCGCGAGCGAAATTTTAATATTTCCGAAAAGCATTGTACATTGCGTTGAACGAAAAAAATTCGCTCCTTGATGTAAGGCGATTTATAGAGCAACTTTCAAGTCAGAATTTTAAACGATCGCGATATAAGTTGTCCAAGTTGTACCTTATGTAACACCTCACAAGACAGGTCAATATCAATCTGTTCATAAAATGTATATCGCGATAAAAAGGATTATATTCCGTAATGGTTATATCATTATGGATTTGTTTGCATTAGGCTTTTTGTAACAGTACACTTGTCATTTTTTAAATCACGCCTTTCTTTTTTTAATTTATAAATATACAGTTGTATATGTGTTTTACGTTTTTACATATACTCTGTGTTAATATTTTATTTTATTTATTCGGGTTAATGTACACGTGTATAATTATCGCATAGAATAGACAGAGTGCATTATTGGCATGTATCTTGAATTAAATTTAGCTGCTGTTTTATTATAGAGTATTGTTTGATGTGTGTGTATGTATGTGTGTGCTTCTTTGAGCTGCTCTGAGCTATATTTATATTTTTTTATTTATTTCTTTTTTATTTGATGGAACGATAATGGATCATTAAATAGAAATTTTTCTTGCTTTTTATTTTTGCAGAACATGTCTCCCCCAACGTATAACGATCTAGGAAAGAGCGCCCGTGATGTATTTAGTCAAGGCTTCCATTTTGGCCTCTTTAAACTGGATATAAAAACTAAGACTAATTCTGATGTAGAGTTCTGTTGTGGCGGTGTATCCAATCAGGATACAGGAAAGGTGTTTGGTAACTTAGAAACCAAGTATAAGCTCAAGGAATATGGGTTAACGTTCAGTGAGAAGTGGAATACCGACAATACCCTTGCAACTGATATCTCTGTTGCTAATAAATTACTCAATGGTCTCACTGTCGGTTACAGCTGTACCTTCTCCCCACAAACTGGGTGAGATATTTTATTATATAATATTAAAAAATTGATTGTTTTATAATTTTAAATGTCTAAAATTTTTCTGTTTTTCATTTTTATAGCTCCAAAACTGGAAAATTGAAGACAACCTACAAACATGAGAATGTATCCTTAAATTCTGATTTTGATCTTAGTCTGTCTGCTGGACCTCTAATTAACTCCTCAGCTGTCGTGGGTTATCAAGGTAAATTTAGATATTAGGTACATCTCTTGACATCATTGTCTAATTGATTTATGACACAAAAACGAGAAATTATGTAAATTTTTTCTTGCAAGATGCATTGAAATAAATTAAATTTTATCATAATTTGCATTTAATAATATAGATCAATAAAATATATCAAAGATTTTCTTCTTTTATGTTTGTATGGGTTAAATAATAGCTGTAAGTTTTGATTTATTATCATAAAGTTTATTTAAAAATGTTGAACATATGCAGATTGAATTATATGTGCATGCAAGACAATAAAAAACGGAATTTTATATTTTACTAATTCATACTAATGAATACTGAATGGTAATATATGAAGAAATTAATTTATTTCAATATATTTTGAAAGAAAAGAAATTGATATATCTCATTTCAGACATAATTCAATACTTAATACAATAAAGAAAATAAGGGTCTTAACAATATGTTAAAATTTAATAATATTAATTACTCATTATTTTCATTCCAAATTATTGAAAAAATACTTTTAATTTAGATTTTTAATTCTTCTATATATGTGTGCCATTCCTTTGTCCCAAATATATATTTTCCTGCTCTGACCATGTGGAATATCCTATAATGTACAAAAGTAAGCTTATGATATATAACAGATGTTATATAAGAATTTGTATTACATGGTGTTTATAGATCCACATATTACTATATTTTACAGGTTGGCTCGGTGGCTGTCAAATAGTATATGATTCACAAAGAAACAAACTTACAAGGAATAACTTTGCTCTTGGACTTATTGCTTCAGACTTTGCTCTTCATACTGCTGTGTAAATATAATTTGTAATAATAAGAAATGCAATATTACTAGACAATTCTTGAGTGATGTTTATGTAGAGAATGTTTAATACGCCATGATATTTTTAGGGATAATGGTCAAGAATTCACTAGCTCCATTTATCATAAGATAAAACCAGGTTTAGAGGGAGCAATTAATTTGGCATGGAATTCTTCTAATAATTTAACGCATTTTGGCATTGGAGCAAAGTATAACCTTGACAGTGATGCTAGCATTAGAGCCAAGGTGAATTCTCAACTTCAAATAGGTTTGGGGTATCAACAGAAATTGCGGGATGGTGAGTAATATTTTTTTAAGTTACTTGCACTAAGATGATAAAAAATAGTACAGTAATTAAATTTTTTTTTGTGAGTGCAAATTACTATATGTGAGAGTTTTTGTGTAATTTTATTTAATAAATCCAGAACGTGTGCAAATTATATAAATTAAAATATTTGCTATGCCATTATATAGAAGTTTAACGAGAGATAGTAAATATATATTTTTCATTCCTACTATTAGTAAAGTGGACTTATGCTCACTAAGTCACAATAAATAGAGAATAATCTTTTGCAGAATAAAAATTTAACAATGCCTTCCACCTTATCACACTTCCTTCTTTCTCTAATGTAACAATCTATAGCTATTAAATAAATATATTTATAAAAAAATATATATGTTAATACACATTGCTAAATAACTGAATATCTGTTTACAGGTGTAACTTTGACACTTTCTTCAAATATTGATGCAAAGAACTTTGGATCTGGTGGCCACAAATATGGTGTTTCATTAGACCTTCAGGCTTAAAATACGTATCATTACAAAGTAACTCTTATAAAAAAGCAAAAAAATTTATCCCATATAAATAAATATTTCATGATCGTGTCAAAATCGGCACATGACAGTACATGGTTCGAATAAAGTATTACTTGTAACGTATAGCTCGGTTGATTCTTGAGTAATTGTGGTAAAATATCGTCGTATAAATGCATTATTTCAGATTAGTTGAAGGAAACATTAGCCTATATTATACATAATTATGATCGTAAACTAGCAATATCTTTGAACAATATAAAGTCACAATTATGTAGATTAGACAAGTTTGTACTATTAATCTTATTTAGTCCCTACAATACTTTACACATGCAGCTTATTAGTTCCTAAAATCATTCTTTTTATAAAGACATAAAGGTCGAGAGTAATATACAGAGTGATCAATTTTTTAATCTATAAATGTTTGTATTTTGAAAACTGTTGAATTAAAAAACGTTCTTTTGGAAGATTGAAGGACATCTAGGAGAAAGTTTACTATATATAGATGGAAGTGCCAAGAAAAATTGAAGGTCAAATGCATTCTTTTGAATGGAATGACTAATTTTTTAGTTTTTCATAAATCTTTTACTTTTTTTGTAAAATTTCATAGAACATCGAATATTAATAAAAAATGTTATAAAAAATATTTTTTTAAAATTTATTATAAAAAATATTTTTTAAATTTGTTATAACAAATAATTTTTTTTTTTTTCAATTTTCAATGTTTTATCAAATTTTACTATAAAAAAATAGTAATTTAAAATTTTGATTTCTAAATTTCTTTGACGCTTCTATTTAGCAAATTTTATCCTACATTTTCCAAAACCTTCCTTAAAGTTTTTCAAAAGAACGTTTTTCAATTCAATTCACATAGTTTCCGAAATATAAACATTCACAGATTAAAATGGATTATTTTGTATATCACAGTTGTGTTAAAAGATAAATAATGCAATCGTACGAAAAATGGTAAAAAGATTATCTTAAATAAAAACAAAAAAGTTTAAATGGAAATATGTATATACATATATATACAACAATATATTTCTTTTGTATACACACATGTACAAGGTATATCAGGATTTTTCGGCTAGTAAATTTTACTAGTAAAGAAGAGAAAAATATATAAACTGAAGAGAAGAGACACCTATAAAATGGTATACACAAAAGTTTTAATAAAAATATGAAATAAAAGAAATGATAATGGACTTATATATAAAATTAAAAGAATATAAAGTCAATACACGATATTTATCTAATCTGTGTGTGTTTACGCGAAATTATAAATATAATTTTAATAATCATTAATTATATTATTGTTCCATTGTGTAAAATGTTGGCTGTTTATGTCAGTATAAGATAATAAGAAATTGAATTTATTACCGTACAAATTCTGTGTCGCAGCTTTCATTACGGTCGGTATTTTGAAATTGAACAGTAATAATAATTCAGCAATAGAAGTTATGTAGATCAGCTAATTTTTATTTTGAATGATAGATGCGATTTATATAAATAGATTAAATAAATATCCTCGATATTTTTCTATTCTTTCCATCATAATAAAAGCCATTCAGTTTATTTCTTTAAAATCGCATATTTTAATTGTAACTTCTTATAATGAAACAAGTGTTATATATAACGTTACTTTTTAATAAAACAATTATAGATTTTAGATAATATTTTTTCTTATTTTTACTTGTAGAACATACTGGCATGGTTTGAAAAATCCGATAATAAACTCTGTACATAAGTATAAAAATATATATAAAATTTTTGTTAATTAGTTTTGTAATAAATTTGCTTAAAATATTATATCGAGAATGTTACTATTGTTTCATACTATTATATATTGAATCAATAATATATAATATTGTTTATGCACAAATACACTAAATTTTGAAGAGTGCAATAAAAAATATCTTTATATAATAACACTTATATTGTTTCAATCAAGTATCAATTTATATCAATTTGCTTGATTGAATTAAATGTATTAAATTTAATTAATTATTTATTACTGCAGATTATGAATTTTATCTTTTGCTGGATAGGACCAGATTAAAATGTATGACATACATATGATATGCATATTTGTATGCGATCAAATAGTCTCAACACAATGTGATTGATAGTAAATGTGTATGCATTTTTTTTTTTATCTTGGTACTATTACTTATATAAAAATATATGATGCCTTCTAATTCGTATAAATAATAATGCAAGTATATATATATATATATACATGTACAATTTTAATTAATTGAAAATATTTATCATTCTATTCCAAGAAAGAATGTTTCGATTGTCCGTTTTTTTTTTTTGTATAAAGAAGAATACTGCCAGTTTGGTTAAATTACGATATTTGCTTTGGATAGTACCAAACCATATTTCTGTTTATAAGATTGTTCAATGTTCAATCACACATGTAACAAACAATAGTCGTATTTTCAAGACACAATAATTACATAGCTATATGTAATTCCACTGCTTTATTTTATATAGGGAATAATAATCGTGAATTTAAAATATGTGTGTAGCTTTTATTCTCCTCAACAATTATTCATTACTGATTATTTGTGTGTTTAGTAAAGAACATTATACAAAATGTAAATGTGATTTATTTACAAGAATTTACATTATTTTTTATCATACAATGATTTTATCTGAATTGACTGCAAATGAATGATTTTTTAAACGTTTTCTTTGAGTGAACTTAAATTTATTTGCGTTGTGTATATGATTAATTTTATATCGATCTTTTATTAGTTCCATTTAATAAGCGATATGTAATACTGGAACCTTTCCCTATCATAAAGCTTTAAGGATACAGTATGCATTTAAGGTATCTTAAACATATAATCTGCCTATTAATTTTTTGAAAAACAATGCGGATATATTTCTGAAAAATTCGACGAGAGATGTTACATTATAGAAAATAAATACAATGAACGTCGTGCATATCGGACAATATTTGCGTTTTAAGAATGAACTATAAATATAAACGATTACTATTTTGGCTCTCTGATTCTGTTATAATATACAATTATTATTATAAATCAAATTTTAAATCAAATTCCAGTATTCATGACGACATTCCTCCATATTAAACAAAATCTATATTAATGCACCATCTGATCTTCCATTGCTTTTGCGATCCATTCTGGTTCGGTTTGAGCTATCTTTTCGATTATTTGATTCACTTGGTAACATAATGATTGTATTTGCTTGTCCCACGTCGGTAAGGTTTCGCGTGCTGCACAGAAAAACACGAGAAATAAAAACGGAACTCTTAATCACGCGGAAAATATGTAATATCTATGTGATAAGATTCAACAAATAACTCACTTTCGAAATGTACTATAGAATCTATTTGATCGATATAACCATTCATTCTGCTCTCGGTAATCATTTGGCTAGCGATCTTTTCCGCTTTAGTAGGTGGAATATCCAACAATGCGCCCAATTCTTCGAACGAAATGTTGTTGTACAGTTTACTAGCGGACAATAAGTTATGTTCGATGACGGCACGATCGAGTATAGTGGAGCCTAATCCGTCGATGGTACATGCTTTCTGGTGAGGTTGCAATAACGCTTCGAATTCTTGCAGTTCCGAACGCCGAATAATACGATCTAAATACATTTTCTCAAGGATCGAATAAGCCGGAAGCTGCTGACAACGTTCGTCTTTGAATAAGGTTGCCAACATTCGACTTCTCTGTTGTCCTGTAATAAGAACGATGTAAACGAGACTTTGAGAAAAATAAAATATATTTGATGCTTAATTAATCGCTGACCTGCGGAAGCTAATACTGTGCAAATCAATGCGTTTCTAAGAGCAGTCATGCGTTCGTCTTCATGAATAATGGATCTATATGATAACTCATTGTATCTCTGAGCTGCTTCTATAAACTTCCTTCTATAATCTAGTACTCTTGCATAGCAGACTTTATAATAGATTTGTAATTGTTCATTTTTAGACTCGGCCTAAGGATAAACAATACAGAGAGAATGAAGTAATTGTCATATTTGTAAGTAAATTGATAAGAACAAAGAAATTACCTGCAAAAGTGACGCCCGATTGATAAACGCTTCAGCTTGTACTGGATCATCATCTTCTAAATATAATCTAGCAATTTTAAGATAAGTCTCGAGTTTGTAATCAATAGTATATTGCCTGAAATGATTAATTTCGTCAGTATAATGTATATATGTATAAATAGTCACAAATCATAATTGCTAAATATGTTACTTTTGTCCTGTTTCCAATGGTATGCCGACTAAAACATTTGCGGCTTCTCGCCAATTCTGATTACGTTCATAAATATCAGCTAAATGTTGCCTTATACTAGCTACTTGTTCTTCAAAAGAAATTACACGTGGCTGAACCTATATATATGTATAATTTCAATTAAGAGAGAAAAATAGTTTTTTATATATTTAAATAATTTATAAAAAAAATTAAATCGTTTATAATTCTCACACATTTTATTATTAATAGAATAATAATTTACCTTATCTAGAGTGTAATGCGAAACAGCCTTTGATATTTCATCGGGTAAAAATAATAAACGGCTGCTGACATCAGTCAAAACTTGCCTCGAAATCACCAAGCTCACATTTTCGTTTACAACTGGAATAAAAGTTTATTTAAATATATTGTTTCTCTAATCTTGGAGTATATACATCGACGACACATAACATGTGAAATATCTACAATGTAATGTCAAACTATAATTTGTATCTTCATTGTACTTATATATGTTAAAAAGATGGTTACATCGTATAATACAAAAATATTAATATAAAAAATATTTTGCAATCCTACTAATATTCGCATTCTGTCGGTATCCGGCATCCTCTTAATGCCCAACCAGCCATAAAAGAAAGAAGAAGAAGAAGTACCTCCTTGATGAGTCTTACATCTATAAATATTTGACAGAGAGATATGATAAATTAAACGCACGCGATAAATAAGAAAAATGGAGATTATACAATATTAAATTAATTAATAAAAATATAGTTTAAAATCTTTTTTTAGTTTAAATATTCGTTTCTTGACTTGTTGGTTGGAAAATCCAAAACTATATTTATATTGATTAATCTAATGTTATTTAAACCTATTATTAATTTGTTAACACTTTAACTTATATCAAAATGTACATTTATATCAGAGAGAAACCTGAGAGGGGCCACGTCGCCGTTTATGTTATATAAATATATTGATAACGTTGACATCAATTTTAACAATGATATCAATTTTAACAACCGAAAAATGGATCCAGTTAGCGCCACTGTACCGGCTAGAGAAAGCGTTACAGGAAAAACGGCGGCGTGGCCCCTCTCAGGTTTCTCTCTGTTTATATCAAATGATTAAAAATATCAGGTTGTTGAACACGCGTCTGATAATTATGTCGACTATACGTTGATACTTTATGGATAATATTTAGTTATTTCTCAGTAAATAAGATTTATTTATTTATATTTTCGTGTATACATACATCCCCCCCAATATATAAAAAAGAAATTGTTATTCATCGATAACCGACTACGAATACCGCTCTGTGTTTATCTATTCTATGGATTTGACGTAAGATAGTTCGCGCGCGCGCCGCGTGGCGCGCTCGTCACCATCGGTAGCGCAGTCACTCTCGTACGCACGTAGTGCATGGATGTACCGCGATCGTACATCGTACGTGATTGTACGTGAGATCGAGCTGTGCGTCCACTGCGTCGTCCGGTCATTGTGATTCTTGCGGCAGAGCGATATACAGCGCGAGAGACACTGATCGAATTCTCAGAGCAGAAGAGATCTTGGACGAGTGTACACTCGCGCGCGCCGAGATATTATCTCTCGAAGATCGGAGTGTGTAGTGCGGGATATCGAGCGCGCTCGAGCCGTGATATGTCGTGCTCGACACAGCAGTGGGGTCGCACGTACATACAAACATATATACATGCATAGGTGGTGAAGTATAGCCGCGCGTGGACGAACATCGGACGGCATCGGAGCGACGTTGACAGTCCATCGCTGTACGGGCAGGTGCACCTGGGTGCACCGTCATCCGTTGCCGCGCCGGCAGCCCCGTCTGTCGTCCCTCGTATCCATCGTGCTTGCATGCCACGCTCGGACGCGAGAATTGGAGCTCCCTGCTGGCGTTTCGCGGGGCTTATCGAGGTAGGCCGCTTCGCCGATACCGTGCACGTTCTTAGACTGGCGGTAAGTTATCCTCAGCGCGCCCCCGATTATATATCGCGCGCTTAAAGCTTATCGTGATTAAACGAATTATCATAACTCTGTCTATATACATTCTGTACGTTGCATTTTTTAACCTACTTATTTCCCGTAGATTCGAAGTGCGGTGCGTATATCCAAGGTTCGGTAAAAGAAAGAAAGAAAGACGAGAGGGGCAAAGTGTGAAAAGAGAGTGCGACTGAAAGACACACGAGAGATTTTACATTATAGTCGATACTACGATCTAGAGAGAGAAAGAGAGAAACGAAGAATCTCACGATCAGTTAAACATTCGCCGAAGTTAATCGATCTGTTTGTCTCTTTATTTGCAGTTTTCGTACTCGGCACTTTTGACGCGAGTTTGAATCGCTCCGAAAGCGATTATAGTGACGTAATAGTTTTGTTAAATGCATTACTAGTCGTGAACGTAATACATAATTTGGTTTAAGCGCTCCCGAAATTCAGATCCGCTTCAGTCGAAGACATTTTATTATATTGACACAGGAGATATAAATATTATTTTTATCTACACTTTTTATATTTGTGACATTTGCTAAAAAAAGTGCTTGTTAAAAATGTGCTCATTTCATTTTTATACTAGTTTTTATTTTGTGCATTTGAATTACATTATCTTATACTTTCTGTAATGAAATAAGCGTCGTTTGCTGTTTTCAGTCACACTTTCTGCTCTCGTAACTTTTTCTTTTTTTACATAAAAATACCAGTATCCATTTTGTTTCAACTAATATATGCTTAAGTACGTTTCTTCTTTCTGCATATCCTTCTATTTTTTATATTTAAACGACTATAGGACGTCTTATTGTTAATATAAGTGTGGTCATCCCTTTTTTCTTAAAAATTAAAGAAAATAGACTATAAAATAAATATAATTTTAATTTTTTAAACTGGATCTTATCATAAGTAACATCCATATAAAAATCATATTCGCGTGCTTGTAGCATTAAAGATTTAACTCGCCGAAAAATTATAATAGTTTTAATTTTCTTTCCTCATTTTTCTAACATTTGCAAAGAATTCTTGGCGAAAAACTGGATCCCATTAGATTCTCCGAATCTGTGTCGACTATGTTGCATTCTTTGCATTCCAATTAAAATCAGCATACATATTCACGCATGGTTGTTTATTTTAGAACATGTGTTTTGCACTTTCTGCATTCAAAATGCAATTAGTAATAGACTTCTAACAGCTGTTTCTGTGGTCAGGAACAGCTGTTTTTCTGTAAACATGAGTTCTTTTTGCGGTATTCTCCCACTATATCTTTATCACGTGATCACGTGAAGTTACGGACACGCATGATGTCTTTAATCTTTCACGCGGTTCTCATTCTGAGGTGGGAAATGAATAGAGAATGCAGAATAATGGGATATCTCGGACAATATCAAAATAACAAATTTTTACTACGCACTCCAAAATGCAATGTTCAAAGGGCATTTGCAAATACGTTTTCTAAACCGAGACCTTTCTGTTTTTTCTTTCTTCTCCCAGTTCTCGTCTTCGAAATCTTTTAAATTCTTTTCTTTTCTCTTAAAGAAAGAGAAAAAAACCAGAGAATAGAATAAAACATGTGGAATAACATCTGTTATATATATTTTTATAGGTGACTAGTAATTCTCCCGAAATATTATATAACGAAATAGAAAATAATGTAAATATTACAAAAAAGTACAAAAAAGCTTAAAGGATTGCAAAATTTTAGTTATATATATGTAATCGGGTTGTAACATCTTCCGATGTTGTCCTAGCTTCCTGCCTAATTTTCATTTCGTTTTATTTATCTAATCCTCCTCCCTTAAGTTTCTCTCATAATTTCCTTATTCCTTCCGTCCACATCTTTCTTGGTCTTTCTTTCTTTTTTATTTCTTTTAGTGTCCACTTCATGATTTGTTTTGAAAATCTGTCATCTTTCATTCTCTTTACGTGAACGTATCAAATCATATCTGTCTTCTCTCGATATCCTCTTTTATGGTTTTTTCTATATCCATTTTCCTTTTCATTTCCTTTCTTACTCTTTCTAAGCGCGATATTCCTGCAACTCTTTTCATAGCATCCATTTCCATAGCTTCCAGTTTCCTTTTCAGGTTTTTGGTCATTCTCCATGTTTCTGACCCATACAGCAGGCTACTTTTTATCATGGTCTCATATATTTATAGTTTTTATATTTTCTCAATCTCCTTACTCCATAAGATTCCATTCAGACATCCAAAATTTAGTTATTCGATTAGTTATTCAAGACTATACATACACACACACACACATACATATCTTTCATATCGATTAATCTTTTAGGTCAAGTTATTCGCAACTAGAAATGACGTTAGAGGGTGGAGAGAAAGAGAAAGCGTATGAGGAAAGGGGAGAAAGGGGATGTTCGGGCACCCTGTGCGAACTCGATCGTGCTTTTAGATGATCTGCGCAGCTCCGCCCTGTGCGATTTTCTCATAGTCGTGTGTTTCGGTGCGGGGGAAGCGTTCTCCATTTAATCCGAGAACCAACACTGACGCCGGGACGATTGTCAATTAACACCGGCGCAGTTTCACACGCGTATCCAGGAGATTGCACTATCCATGTCGAAAATGATTGAGATTTTTTTTTTTAACGACTCTCTCGAAACACACCCATTATTTAATAAGAGAATTTGTTTCGTAGAGACTCCCGTTTTGTCGCTGAGGAAGTATCTTGATACGTGAAAAAAATTGCGTTCGATCTTGATTGATGGGGTAGCGTAGATCTTTTTTCAATGTTTTTTCGAAGGATTAAAAGAGATTCGATGCGAAAATGTTATTTTGCGAAAACATTTAGTTATACGGTGACACCCTGCTCAACGGTAGTCGAGCCAGTGTCGTTAAATCACGATGATTATGGCATTGGTCTTTATTGCTCGGAAGTAGGCAGTTTTCATTTCAGGGACTTTCGTTTATATATATATAGGTACAATGAGATAGAGAGGAACGATACTAGGGCTGCTGATTTAGCATTGACGAGTCGTTTTACACTCTTGATGTTTGATAATAGCCATTTAACACTTTCAGATACAGACTGCAAGAGAAATTACGCGTCGCCATTTTCCCAGATAAACTCTTCGCTTCTCATTCGAGATGGAGATATCAAAAAAATATTCCGCGAAAAATTCATCTTGATCTTGAAATTCAAAATTAATTTTTTTTTATTTATCATGTTTTATTCGCCAAGTAGATTTATTGTAGATAAAGATTTATATTGTGGATAAAGGGAAGTAACATACTGACTATGTATGTCATGTATTGAGTGTGACACATATGATCTATTTAAATAAATTTAAACTTTTTTTTTTGATAGAAAAAAATTGGTGTAAAAGGGGGAAGTGAAATATTGAAGTTTAACAGCATTTTAACACACGATAGTAAACACATCATAATTTTTAAAATATAATAGAATCGAAAATATCTTGATTTTGTCGATGAGGCAATGAATTCATAAATGTATCAATTAATATATTATAATTTATTATCAGGTACGTTAAAAAATAAAATTAAATAAATGACACTTATTGCCTCCAACAAGACAAACGATCTTAAATATACCGCTAGAAAAACAAGAAGATGGTTGTTATATAATGTTGTTAATAGGCTTATTATACGACCACAGTCGCTACACATTAATCCAGTTGAGGATCTCTTTGGCTTGAGTTGGATTTCGTTTCGTATTTGTCCGGATATACTTCAAATATATCTCGAGCAACGTTATGTTCTATTATAGGTAAAAAATAACCTTGAACGTTCTGTTGTGCGCGCTGTTTCTTCGATAATCTTATAAAGAAATGGATATTTTATTGCTACTCGGATTGAAGCCTGGTTACTCGCAATGGATTAACCGGCCCACGCGATCTCGTAAGCGATTTCGTGTACAAAATCGCATGTATTAATGGTAAATATACAAGGACACTTTGGCGACTCGCTGATTCTTTTCATTCTTTGCACGCATAAAGCAATTGAACCATGCAAATTAACTATATGTAAACGAAAGAAATACGTTCCTCAAGTATTGCAGAGAAATACCAGTGCAAGTGCATATTAATTTATTTAGACTTGTATTAAATTATATGCAATCGAGAAAAGAGTCTTCGATTCTACATGAAAAAATAAGTTGAGAATGTTCTTTAGTTATTCTAGTACACGAAAGAGAGAGAGAGAGAGAGGAAGGAGAGGTTGAATTCTTCGCATTTTTTAAATTCTTCAGAGAATGACTCTTATTATATTTCGCGCAAATTTCATATATAACATCTTTTATTTAACTTCTTCAAGAATCTCGGGTACTGAAAAGATTAATAATATCTTTTGTGGAGTTCACAGGCGCAATGTGACCCTCGAAGAATTAAGTGTGAATTGCGTGTGGCACTTCGTTAGCAGAGCCCAGGCTCCGCTTACGTTGACGCATGTTGATGAATTATTCAGCGTGCACAAATCCACGGAGAAGAATGGTAATCCTCGCGAAATTGTCGGGTATCAAGGTCAAACGCCGAGACACGCGCGGTTTGGCACTTGTAAAATTTCTCGGCAGCCGAATCCCGACCGCTTGCATTTCGCACGCTGAAATTACGCGGCATTGCGTAATCATGCGCGAGAATCGTCGACGGTAGCACGTTACTGCTCGTTATTTATCACTTGGTTCACTCGATGCTCTTTCACGATGCACAGTGGTACATAGGAGAAACTGCGATACCTATAAGGACGCTCTTTTTATTCAGATTTTTCCAAAATTTCTTCTTTTTAACCATTCCTCGTTTACATTTCAAATATTGCTCATTAATTTTACTATACATGACTCCTTTTTTTTTCTGCATATTTAGCATGAGTCTAAAAAAGATTGACGCAAGAGAATTTTGCGAAATAATTTTAAGCTGCTTTTTACAAATTTTTTATTCTGATAATCCGTCAATGTGAGTATATACATTATACAATACTAATATACGAGAAAAAGTTCAATTTTAGGAATCTAAGTATTGCAGAGAAATACCAGTGCAAGTGCATATTAATTTATTTAGACTTGTATTAAATTATATGCAATCGAGAAAAGAGTCTTCGATTCTACATGAAAAAATAAGTTGAGAATGTTCTTTAGTTATTCTAGTACACGAAAGAGAGAGAGAGAGAGAGGAAGGAGAGGTTGAATTCTTCGCATTTTTTAAATTCTTCAGAGAATGACTCTTATTATATTTCGCGCAAATTTCATATATAACATCTTTTATTTAACTTCTTCAAGAATCTCGGGTACTGAAAAGATTAATAATATCTTTTGTGGAGTTCACAGGCGCAATGTGACCCTCGAAGAATTAAGTGTGAATTGCGTGTGGCACTTCGTTAGCAGAGCCCAGGCTCCGCTTACGTTGACGCATGTTGATGAATTATTCAGCGTGCACAAATCCACGGAGAAGAATGGTAATCCTCGCGAAATTGTCGGGTATCAAGGTCAAACGCCGAGACACGCGCGGTTTGGCACTTGTAAAATTTCTCGGCAGCCGAATCCCGACCGCTTGCATTTCGCACGCTGAAATTACGCGGCATTGCGTAATCATGCGCGAGAATCGTCGACGGTAGCACGTTACTGCTCGTTATTTATCACTTGGTTCACTCGATGCTCTTTCACGATGCACAGTGGTACATAGGAGAAACTGCGATACCTATAAGGACGCTCTTTTTATTCAGATTTTTCCAAAATTTCTTCTTTTTAACCATTCCTCGTTTACATTTCAAATATTGCTCATTAATTTTACTATACATGACTCCTTTTTTTTTCTGCATATTTAGCATGAGTCTAAAAAAGATTGACGCAAGAGAATTTTGCGAAATAATTTTAAGCTGCTTTTTACAAATTTTTTATTCTGATAATCCGTCAATGTGAGTATATACATTATACAATACTAATATACGAGAAAAAGTTCAATTTTAGGAATCTTTTTTTTTTTTTTCGATACCTATCCATTTATCCCCTGAAGTGCAGTTTACATAGAGGGGTCTCGATATTGTCCACTTTACTTTTAATCAGCTCCCCTTTTATTTTTTATGCTCTCCCACTACTTCATATTTTCATTCTACTATCATAGTCACGTGGGAAATGCGAAATAGTGGGAGAACAACGGAGAGCAGCGTAAGAGGAAGTGGTTAAGAGTAAAGTGGATGACATTAGTGTGTTCTCGGCACACATTCTTTTCACATTTAGAACACACTGTGGCACTTTCTGTCTCTTGTTAAGGGCCACTTGTAGTATCTGTGTATCCTGTGTGTGTTTGATTTGCTCTCACAATGTTTCTTTTTCATATCTTCAATCATATTTTTCTGAAGCTTTAAATTCAAAAACCAAGCACCATTTATACACAAGCGTTGCACTGTAAGAAATGGCGATATTTCATTCATAAAGCTTTTCTTAGGCACTACAGCGGCAACGAATTTGAGACGCAAATCAGTGATGTTCTCGTTTTTCCAAGAAATTTTATGGTTTCATGTATTTTTCTTCACAAAGCTTAGACCGATGTAATCACCATGGAAAGAAACGCAAATTTAATGCATACCGTTTCGCGCTTTGCATATTTAACAATGCAATGCATGCGCGTTTACTTTCGCCTCCGCCTTTGATGCGATGTATTTATACTATCAAGTGGTTCGAGCGTTCTGAACTTGCAATAATATTTATCTATGGCAGAGCAACTGCCTCGCAAAAGTCTCCATGTATTCTATATATACAAGGTGTCCTAAAAATTCTACTTTTTCTCTCTCAATTACAGATTCTTTAATGGCATCAGCATTCATTTCTTTTTCTTAAAAAGAATTCAACGCGATTATTTTATCATCTTCGATATCCTTCATATTTCGGCTATTTAAATAAAGTAATAGAAGTGAGGATGAAAAAGAAAAGAAAAGATTCTTGATATAAAATCACAATAGTAAAAGAAGGATCGGTCGCAAAAGCTAAACTGCAATTGCATTAAACTATCTTCTAATCTGAAATATTATCTCAGAAAAAAATATATAGATTAAATAACACACACACACACACACACACACACATATATATA